CACGAAACATGATTTATTTTACTTAAGTTACGATTTAATGTAATCTTTTAGTCTCGTAATATTAGTAGGATTGGACTGTGATTGGACTATATTCTTGCTCCATGGCCTTCATTGGCTTACGTAAGCTATTAAACTTAGAACATAGAACCAGGGAATCGAGCATAAGTAACATTGTAGGGTGGTGTGATGCATTGAAATACCACATTTTTTTGTTTTGTCTTTTTACAAAAGATATAAACGTTTACTTGTTCACCTATGGTATTAAAGAAGAAAAATTTACAGTAAATTTTACTCTGTGTTCGTTTGTTGGTGTGACGTAGTACATCCTCCCAATTACGTGCCGATATTCAGATTAAACAAGAGACGATAGAGAGCTTTAACACTCAACCCTCTAAGAAAAAAATATAATCATAAAAACTATTAATTACAACCTTTTACTGCAAGCTGTAAGCACAAACATGTAACCAATAAACAAATTAATAGAAGTTTACGTGTAAAGTTCTCCAACTTTTCGTCTTCCTCGGAAACCCAACACCCGTGTCGCTGTTTTCTGTAATTGAATAAAAAATTACCAGTCAGAAACGTCGTGTATCATAATAGGAAGTCTTTAGTACTGATAAAAAATAAAATAAAAATATAGCTAAAGTAACACTAAGCTGCTTCAGATTACAACTTTTAAAAATTCAGGAAAGCTGCATAGGTATAATGAACAAAGCATTTTATTGGGATAAGTTTAACGTTTATTTATTAAGAGATTTAACATCAAGTTCAGACTCTATACTTTCATAGATTGCTTGTTATGGTCAGAGCTGTCTACAGAAATATTCGGGCAAGAGACAAATCCTTTGATCACTGTTTGTCTGGCTGAATGGGTTTATCACATCGTGTGTCTGTCTGAATCGTTATGTTCTTCTATCACTGCTTTTCTGCGTATCTATCCATCTATTTGTCTACCTATATCTACATGACTGTGTCTTTTTGTCAATCGTTTATCTATTTGTTTATCTATCTACCTGACTTTTTATTCTTCAGTTACGTTAATCACACTAAATATTCGTCATTGAAATTATAATTGTGTTTTCTTTTATATTTCTGTAAATTCAATGTGTGTATAAAAGTTTTGTATTTCCTCTGCAGACGATCCAGTACAGTTATAAAAATAAAATAGTTCAGGCCGAGACCAGAGAGTTGGCGTCCTTGCAGAAAGGCCAAATTCCAGCCAGGACAACAGACCAATGGAAAAATGAGCTACTCCATATCCCACCCCTTCCACCAACAAATCTCCGAGGGTGTCGCCTGATTCGCATACAGTATGATGTTTATGTAAGTTTTGTGGAAGAGCTCCTTGATCAATTTAATTTGGTGTGGTATTTAAAACAGTGTCCAAAGTATGAAGTACAAAACTTAAACAGCTTTTCTTTTACACAAATCCCTGTTCTTTCTCTCTAGGGTACTTTATTTTTTTCCACAGAGCTTACCAATTGGTTTGCTTTATGCATTGACTATAAGACGTATAATCTGAACGGTAGCTTACCTTAATAAATGTAAAAATGTATCTTAAAAATATCTTCAAAGTTTTGCCTCATGTAGTTTTGTTTTATTATTCATGTAGAATATAAATTAACACATATGATGTTAAAATAAGTTTTAAAAATAAACAATTAATTTGATATGGCTTTGATATGGTTTAAGAAGCAAAATGTAATATATTCCAGGGACTTTATAAGCAAACTGAGCCAGTCTTTGGGTCGACAGTAAAATACGTAGACCTTTGGGTTTCAATACTAACATATATTAGACTATTTGGGTCGACAGTAAGATACGTAGGCCTTTGGGTTTCAATACTAACATATATTAAACTATTTGGGTCGACAGTAAGATACGTAGGCCTTTGGGTTTCAATACAAACATATATTAGACTAGTTTGGGTCGACAGTAAGATACGTAGGCCTTTGGGTTCCAATACAAACATATATTAGACTATTTGGGTTTCAATACAAACATATGTTAGACTATTTGGTCCGACAGTAAGATACGTAGGCCTTTGGGTTTCAATACTAACATATATTAGACTATTTGGGTCGACAGTAAGATGCGTAGGCCTTTGGGTTTCAATACAAACATATATTAGACTATTTGGGTCGACAGTAAGATACGTAGGCCTTTGGGTTTCAATACTAACATATATTGAACTATTTGGGTCGACGGTAAAATACGTAGACCTTTGGGTTTCAATACTAACATATTGTTACGTCTCCGTTTGTTAATTAATTTTCCGTAACTTCGTTCCGACGAAATTTTAGCGACACAAGTCCTTACTTAATAAAACTGGTTTATTCTTTCCGAATACAACTTTACGATACACTTATTTTCAACAATCGCGCTAAAACAAACGCTATAACTCTCAAAGAACGTCTCTCGTGCTCTTTGACTGCAGTTCAATTACTCACTGTCTACACACACATTATTGCGTCACGTTGTCACCCTCTTATATATACCAGCCTTCCCTATCTAGTAAATACTAGAGCATTCGCCAAGGTACGGGATAGTTCTAGAAACTAGAGGGCGTGAGAATAGTCACGTGATATCGATGACGCAACAATATATTAGACTATTTGGGTCGACAGTAAGATACGTAGACCTTTGGGTTTCAATACTAACATATATTAGACTATTGTGATTTAAGGGTCGAATTTGGAGGTCATTAAACCCGTGGGATTTCAAAGTGAGATATAGGTTCTTAAGCTGAAGGTACGATTTAAAAGACTGCTATGGTTTAAAGGTAATGTACAACAGGATGTGGAGTTTTTAAAGTAAATGATAGCAGGCTGTTGGGTTTTGAAGAATCTCGGGTATAACTCACTATTGGGAGTTTGAGGTATGGCACGTTGTTTTGGTTTTAAACGATCTGAGGTATAGCTGGCTCACTGTTTGAATTTGCAAGGTAGGTTTAGATGTTACGTATAGCAAGTACTTAAGTTGTTTTAGAAGCAAATAATCAGACATTTGTGGGTTTTGAACGTAAAATATAAACGTATTTAAAAAACAGAAAATGAATTGGCACTTTTTGGACATTTTTGTATCCCTAATTATCTATCTACGTGTTGATTGATGTCCTGTAATGCAGTAAAATCGGGGTACATTACAGTGTAATATCTATATAAATAGTTACGTAGAATTGATTTGAATATTTTTTAACAAAATCTGAAAATTAATATTCAATTTTATGTCCTTAAGTATAGTGTTATTTGTTTTGTTATTAAACACAAAGGTATACAATGGACTATTTATGCTTTGCCGCCCAATTTTTAGTTTTATAAGCCTCAGACTTACTGCTGAGCCTCTGGGGGCTTCACAAATGAAATAAAAAATTATGTTTTCAGTTTTCATTGTGCAATAATGCGAAATAACAAGGCAAAACGTTTTGGTATGTAGTACCGACAACAAATAAAGAGACTCAAATGTTTAAATATACACTAGCTTTAACATCGAAATATTAATAGCTTAGGCCACCAAAATGCATCTTTTACGTTTCAACTCACTGTGGATCGTCTCAGTTGGCTGACATAAATCACACAGAATAGCAAATAAAAGATAAATTTCTACGTGTTCGTACATAAAAAATAAGATTTGGTATGTAGCATCAACAAACCATTTCTTATGAACAAGTAATCGAGACCAAGAGGTAATTCGATGTAATATGGAAATTGTACGTATAGTTTTAGTTTTCAATTTGAAATCGACATTCATTCCACGATATATATATTTTTAATTGACGCAAATGCGAAATACAAATTGTTCAACTTGCAATAAAATTTACATACAACTGGGACAAGAAAAAAAAACGTATAGAGCAGACGCATAAAACTAGGGTTCAAACTGCATTGTAGGAAAAGTAAAATATACACCAATAAGAGAAGCTACATTTATATTAGTCAGCTGCTTACAGAATACTAAGATATACGTTAGTCAGCTGCTCACAGAATACTAAGATATACGTTAGTCAGCTGCTTACAGAATACTAAGATATACGTTAGTCAGCTGCTCACAGAATACTAAGATATGCGTGTTCCATTGATCTACACGGTCAACAAAAAAGTCATAATTCCTCAGTTCATGATAATCATAGTAATTTTAGGTTAAAAAACACGCTGTTTAACTAGAATGTATGTAATATGTAGAATATTTTAAATTGTACTCTTTCACTATAACAAGAACATTAGCTTTATGTAACATCTTTTAAACAATGTTTACCATCTAACGATCATCAATGTTTACCATCTAACGATCTTAAAATCAGTAATTTAATAAAATACTTACCTTTCAGAAAAATCATGTTTTCAATCTATTTCTAGAGACTGTTTAACCCTTTTCTTCTTCGTAATTGCCCCCCAGTGGCACAGCGCTATGTCTGCGGACCTACAACGCTAGAAGCCGGGTTTCGATACCGTAGTGGACAGAGCACGGATAGCCCTTTGTGTTGCTTTGTTCTTAACTACAAACAAGTATTCGTACTCTAGAATAAAACTAAGTTTTATGTAAACCATTTTCATGAAAGAGTATATCAGGTGGGTCCGCTACATAACGGGAGGTTCGGCAAGATATATTGCAAAGTAATACTGAGTTCCACCAAATCTAACGGAACCTGTGCCAAAAAACAAATGGACTAGACACGGTGTATAGCACGCAATTAACCAACCTTTATTTAGATAACACGAAGCAACACTTTTAACGATGGACAGTTGCTTTTGTTGACTATACTTTCTCGAGATTTATATCCATGCTGACTGAGTCACTCAAAATGATTGACTAGTATTCACATTACTTACTTGAATCGGTAACGTTAGACTTACCCAAAGCGACTAATGTTACTGACGCGGCTGGTCATACCCAGTCAAATATAAGGAAGATTATTGCATCGATAGATCGCCTGACCTACCATTAGAGGACACTGCTTTGGGCCTTACACCTCTCAGTTACACCTCTCATGGGCAGACCAAATGTTATATCCGAAGGATAACATAGAACAAAAATAGCTATAACAAAAATCAACTTAAGAATTTCTTGCTATCGTTTTATTTTAACACATAATTGAATAAACGATTCTTTTAAATTACTATATCAAAATAAGAAAGTAGAAAACTGCCTGCCAACGACGTTTGTAGTCGGAGTTTCACGAGTTTGTCATTCCATCCGTAAAATACTCTTGTAACCTATTTTATATTCACTTTGTTTTAGACTTTATTTTTAATAAAGGACATAATAAAGTTTTATTACTCAAACTCTTAACGCCGAGATTCGGATAGTAATCATCGTAGTTACAATTGACATTAAGTATTTCTACGTCTTTTCTTCAAATTCTGAACTTGAATTAAATACATTTTGGAGCTTCCTGACTTTTTTACACCTTTCATATCCAACTTATCAAAATCATCACAGTGATTGCTTTTAAAACGAGTTTCTACTAAAAATATTGAATACTTTTAAATTTCTAATTCGTCTCTGAGTAATATAACCTAATCTTTTCTCAGAAAGCTTTTATTTTTTTCATGACATTTTGACGACGTACTATCTCGCTAATATAAAGTAGTACCATCTATAAGGCATTTGAATGAAAAAGTCTCATTGTTTCTTTTAGTTCATTATCTATTCAAAAGGACCAGAGAAGCAGATAAAACTACAACTACCAATCATGATGGCCACCTACCCAATACGGAACAGCGATGGTACTCTCCAGAGAAAAAGAGATTCTTATTACCCTGCAGTTCTTCCAGTGTTTCGACCATGGCTTACTTCTAAAACCTTGGAGTAGACTATTATAACCCTTAATCACGGCATACATAACCCTCTACTTTTACTGTCTTCGAAGTTATTGGTTTCTGCTTCAGTTAAAATATTATATATTGATTCAGTTTTATCAGCGAATAATGATCGTACTGTTGTAAATATAGAATATAGTAGGTATGGATTATCTTATATAAATCAATATTTCTAATATGCCCGAAAAAATAACCATGCTTCTACGGATATACGTGTAATGGTCTTATCATGACAACCCCGACCTCTGAAGTTTAAAGAAGCTTGACTTACTGACAGATTTCACCGATTCTCTACTTACCAGATACCAGAACATTGCTGTATGTTAGTGCTCTTTCTTTTCTTTCATAGAACAGATGAATGAGTAGTTATATATAACGATTACAATTCTATCTGTGGACTATGTGTTTGTCCAATGATTTTGGTCATCTGAGTGAAGGTATATATATTCAAACAGTTCGGTATTACCTTTCGCGATAACAACACTGATTCAATGTTACAATATTTTACATCCACTAATTGATAAGTCTCTTTTGGATATGGAAAGACTGATAAAATATTTTCCATTTGGAAATAAACTAACTTTTAATATCGATTCACAATTCACTAAAATGGTTCACTGTTTTATACAAAGATAATTATAAGGGTGAAAAAGTAAATCTGAAAAACAAATACTATAATATTTTAAATCTTTAAATTCAAACAAGCCAGAATTCGCAAGCATAGCCCTTTGTAGCAATCTTTGGTGCATATGTGATCAAATGTTACTCTTTTTTAATGAACTTAAGCTTTTGAATAGTTAAAATTAAGCAATGGAAAAGGCTAATTACTTAAAATGAATGATTTTACACTTTTCATGATTACAGCTTATAAAATATGGAATTTCAATAAGTCTAATCAAATAGATAATGTTTTATTAGTACTTTTATATTATAGATAAATAAACTATGATCAAATAAACACTTCTAACGTGTTTTCGTTCTATGCATTTAGGACAAGTCTAAAGCGTGAGTATTTAAGATGTTAAATATTAAAAAGAACTGAGTTTCCATTTAAAGAGAACCAAATAACTTGTTAGTTACGTATGAAATAAGCACATTCATCACGAACATGAACACGTAATGGACTTTCACTTTCAGTGTTTCTTGTTTCTAAACTTGCTTAAATAACTTTGTGTGCAATTTTGTAAGTTATTTGGTTCCGAAAAAATAACCCGCGAAAGTGTTCTAATTAACCTGTTATTTTGTTTTTATTTCTTGTTAGGCTTAGTATTACTAGCTTTGTGTGCATTTTATAATTATTTTAAATGAATATAACCTGAGATATACTTCAATATTTCCCGCTAATTTGGCATTTTGTAAAAAATATAACATAGAGAAGGCATTTCGTTTCAATTTTTGTCCTGTTTAAACTTTATTTCCAAGTTTGTGTTTATTTCCCTAAGTTTCCTTATGAAGATAAATCCTGGTAAGTTCCTCTTCATTGTTTTTCCATAACTAGATAATATCCACTGTTTTCTTATGTCACTAGTTATACAATAAAAGAAGTATCACTAAGTCATTTTTCATTGCATGTATAGTTCAGGTAAACGTAAACAGTGGCATCATTAAAAGATTAAAAAATATATATTTATAAAAGTAGGAAGGGGCGGCGTCTCACGAAGAATAGTATGTTTTTTGTTTCTTATCATAACGCTAATATTCAAGTTTCTATAACCACTGTGGGCAGAGCACAGTGTAACTCTGTGCTAAACAGCAAAGAAGAGAAAAAAGAATTAAAAAAAGGACATTTTAACGTAACTTTAACCCTTCGTTATTTTTCATTATTTATAATATCCTATAAAATATTGAATAAAATAATGAATATATTTGTTCTGTATTTTAATAACAGTTTTATGAACGTTATCTTTTGGTGTTTAAATCAATGCAAGTAAAATTATGTTATACAAGTTACTTTCTATGTTAAAAGTATATAAAACTTCAAACTAAGATTTTTAAAAGCCTTAAATTAATAGTATATTTAGAAATAGTTATTAAATATATATACAACCATATTTTTTTTCTCGCTTCTCCATTCGATTTGTACGTCTATTTGTTTATTTTGCAGATTTGATATTTTGAGATAGAAACGTATGCTAACGGTTATCCTATGTTCTTTTTAAAGTGTAGACGTATGAAAGTTCTGAAGCATTGTGTGCCAACTGATGTATATATGAGTACATATATGTGTGCGCGTGCGCGCGTGGGTTCTCCGGCCAAGTTTAAAGTTACAATAGAATATTGTACTGAATAAAGGAAGTGTATTATAGAGGTGACTGACTCTTTTGTAACATATGAAATAAACTCAAGACACGACACAACAAAGTATTTTTTGTTTAAACGCTTAAAACTGCATTGTGAATTTTTTACTTTTATTGAAGAAAAAGTGACGAATGAACAAACTTGTGAAATGTTAGCAGCCATAAAGTTTGTTCTGGTTTGATTGAGAATTGTTAGCTCAAGAATACTTACTGGTGAGTAGCTTTAAGTGTTGGAAGCCTGTTGATATGAGTTATTCATCCATTATTTAATGTTTTTGTGTAGCCCCTACGAAACTGTGCTAACCCGAATTTGTCAATTACAATATTATACTAAATATCAATTTACAAAGAGATGTATCATCTTTCTTGATGAAATGTGCTTTCCTAAAGTTACAACTTAAACCTTAACGGTTTGGTTATTAGTAAACATATTTATATTCATTACGTGTTGTTGAACGGCCAAATATTATGATTTAAGATCATTTCTGGTTTCAGAATTTTCGTGTAGATCTACACTAAAACTTACCGTTCTTCATTTTGAAATAATAGGTTAGAGCAGCGTTTCCCAAACTATGGGTCGCGACCCACTAGTGGGTCGCAAGCGGAATATTAGTGGGTCGTAAAAAGTTATACTAGAATTACGCATTAGCTTCGATTAAACGCTGTCTGTCGAGATAGTTCAAGACTCGGGCTTTCATTGCCAGGCTGTTGTTGTATCAAGCAGTATGTTGTTTTGACGAGCTTAACGAATCAGGGTTGATCATGCTCTCAATTTAATCATTCGTCATTGTAAAAAGAAAATCAATTTTCACCTATTCATCATAGACTCACTGCAACCTTCACAGAGCAGCGTTAGTATCAAAATGTATATCTGATGATTTTAAAAATGTTTTGAACACTTCCATTAAAATAGTGAACATTGCAATCGCGCTTATTTGAGAAGTTGTCCGAAGAAATGGGAAGCAATCATAAATCACTTCTTCTGCACAGAGAAGTACGTTGGCTCTCGAGCGGTAAAGTGCTAACAAGACTTACAGAACTCCGCGAAGAAGTTGCTATATTTCTGGAAGGTAAAAGCGATTTTGCGTGATATTTGCGGAACGAGGAATTTGTTCTGAGGCTCACGTATTTGACAGATATTTTTTTCAAAACTAAACGAACTGAATTTGTACTTGCAAGGAGCACCTTCAA